GCGACAGCTTCAGCAGCACTTCGGGAAGCTGGCGCATCATCGTCTCCTGCATCTCGAGCATGCAGACGATGATTGCGTTCACGCACATGCACGCGCACTTCGAGAGCCTCCCCTCCTCGAGGCTCTTGATGAGCGTCACCTGAGGACGACCCGACGACATGTCAGAATTACGAATCGATTACTTAATTATGGATTTCGGAAATAAATAACAGATGAAATGAAGAGATGAAATAACAGATGAAATAACAGATGAAATAATGATGAAAAACAGCTGTTAGAATTAAAATGATCAGGTCTTTCACACCAACCGATTACTTAATTATGGATTTCGGAAACAAATAACAGACCGATGAAAAACAGGCGACTTAAAAAACAGTACTTGTAAGAAAAGGTCATAGTAAATTGATTAAATGTCATACCAATTTGATAAAACAACGCTTTTAAACATTTATCCGATTACTTTGCTACCTTATGGGTTAGAGAAAGAAAATGGTACATGTACCAGCTGTATTAGTATCACCATGAACTATTAACTACGTACACACTCTTACTGTATTACTAAGAATTCTTGTTATCTATTATAGATAGTACTGATCGCCTGGTCTAAATTTGGCAGTATATAGTATTCACGATCAAAATGCTTAATCAACTGCAGTCAAACCAGTGTTAGCAGACATCTCTATAAAACAGACTCATCTATAATGGACATTTACAGGGAGACTTCATTGATCAGGTTTGACTGTATCCTTGATTATCGATCGTGAAGTTGAACCCATGTTCTTCACAGCTAGTATCACCTGTAGTGGCTTGTCAACGTAAGCATGGTACGATGCTAGTGCTGCCAGAATCGGATAAACGAAGCCCTGGAAATCTGAGCGGCTGAACTTTGGCGGGAGCCCGCGCAGCACGTCCGGGTAGCCGAGCCGCTTGTCGGTCGCCATGGCGACCAGCTTCCCGCAGAGCAACTCGAAGTTGGCGTTGGTCGCGAGCACGAAGGACTTGTTCTGCAGGATGGCGGGGAGGCTGCCGAGAACGACGCTGAGCACCGACCACTCGTGCTCGCTCGCGAGGCACTGCACAACGACCGCCATCACCGCGGCAACGCTCATCGTCTTCGTGCGGCAGCGGTCGTACGCGGCGACGACGGTCGGGGACCGCGGCCCCGCGGGCGACGCCGTCCCGTGCGTCCCCCCCGCCGCCACCGCCTTCTCCGCGTGACACAGCAGGTAGGGACTCGCTCGCGCGTCCCCGTCCGGCGCGACGACACACACGCGGTGCAGCGTGTCGCTGCGCAGGCTGCAGAAGAGGCGCAGCACGGCTCCGCGCGCCGCTGCGAGCGTCGGCGACGCGGTCAGAGGCGCCGCGTACGACCCCTGCATGAACCCCACGAGCAGCTCGAACGCCTTCACGGCGTGCGCGGACGGCAGACGCGCGTACTTCGCGATGAAGATGTCGATGACGCCGACGACAGCGGCCTTCACGTCGGCGAGGTCCGCTTCGGAGAGCGGCGGTTTGAAGATCGGCGGAGCGTCGGCGTTCGGCTGCATCGCGAAGCTTGTCACGCGGTTCTCGAACGGCCGCATGCATATCTGATGTCAGGAAGAACACCGCATGAACAACGCGCTCATAACGGTCAACAGTAACAATGAGTAAGGAGATGTGATGAGCCTAAACAACTTGATGCAGCTTACCAATATATATATATATATATATATAATATATCAGGAGTTAATGAGACAAATAACTCTGTTTCATTTGTCTCATTAACTCCTGATATATATATATATATATATAATATAGATATATAAACAAACATGTGTAGTTTTCAATATTTCTATGGTAATACAGATGACATGCCCTCCTATGAAACGCAACCTGCCACACCGTCAGACCCATCTTGACGCGCCTGGTTATATATCCACATTCTGCCGTGGCTACCCACAACTTGACAAAGACAACTAGAGACAGGTTGTCGAATCTCGTTATTAGGTTTAATATATTTGGATTTATATTGAAATAAAATTACCCTTAGCATCATAGTGATATCAGATGAACCTATTCCATAAGATAGATCATGTAGACATTTATTTATTAATTCAGTGATTATCACATGCGACTGGACCTGCTTCATTAACAGCAGTCGAAACATAGCAAGGGAGCTCGGTGGGCGATTTTAGCCCCCGAAATGCCAAAAGAGGGCGCCGGCGGAATATGCAAAAGAGCCGCGGAATTTGCATAGAGTTCAATGCAAGAACCAAATTTTAGAGTGCTATTTTCATGGCACGCGACTGCTTGAAAGTAGCCCCCAAAAAATAATTTTTTTCCCCTGATCTACAGACTCTGCAATGACAGTACCACCTCATGACTAATGCCTTGAGACAATTATGATGCCATTTCAACAGCAGTAAGAGCTGGACACTGACAAGCTCCCCCAGGCCACAATTAAAAAAAAATTTGTTTGCCCTCCACCCGGCTTTTTCTTTGAGGGCGGGGGTCTTTTTACAAATTCAGCATGTGTCTACATGCTTGGGTGTTGGCTTGTGTGGAAGATACCTTTTATGTTGAATGTTTGTCTTGCTTGGTTACTATACATGTACTGGCCCTACAGATTCTATATTATGTAGCAGTGATACAATTTGTTAAAAAACAAAATATATGCATAACATTTTTTTTGAAGTCGGCCCTTTTTTTGGGCGGGTCGGATCCCCGGCCGCCGGGGGGTGAGGGCAAACAACAATATTTTTCATGGCCGACCGAGCACACACCATTGTTGATGGAATGTCCCAGCAGGTGCAGAGCAACGTTTAGACTGATCAGGCCTGCGGGCAGACTTCGACCAGCACGCACGACGGCCATGTTAGCGTACGGCGACGTCATCTGGTCGCGCGCCTGCGATGTGTGACAAGGAAGCGGCAGGCCAGCTATTTCTCCAGGCAGGTCCTCCTGGTCACCAGCGCAAAACACGGGCATAAACAGTGTCCAAAGCTGGCATCAAAAACTGCTGTCAAACACGCCCCCCCCCCCGCCCCCCCCCCCCTCCCCCCCCCCCCCCCCCCCCCCCTGCGCCCCCCCCCCGCCCCCCCCCGCCCCGGCCCGGCCCCCTCCCCCCCCCCCCCCCCGCCCCCCGCCCCCCCCGCCCCCCCCCCCGCCGCCCCCCGCTGGTCACCGACGTTTCGCAGACTCTGTCTAAAGCACTGGCCAGGCTGTGGGCAAAACTGTGCTCTGACCAGCTTTTTTCACGGCGGTGTCAAACGGTGCCTTGACCGTGTCACTTCTATCAAAGCTTTGTCACCTGTTGCGCAAAACGTGCAGTTAAACTCTGTCAAGCTGTGGCACAAAACATTGGTTTAAACTAACTTAACCTGAGTCGTTACTCGTATAACGCTGGGCGTCATTAAAGCACTTTCAAAACTGCGCATTCTGTAATTAAAACACTGTAAAACTCTGTCACTGGCTAATGGTATAAAAGTGTTACAACAGTTGTCCACGCTGTCAATCAACACTGACAAACTTTCAATAACTGTCAATTTTTGTCATCAAGCACTATAACAGCTGTCCACACATGCTGTCGTCCTAACTTCGCGCGATCATTGAAGCCTATGACAATGCATTTATATATATATATATAATATATATATTATATATATATACTAGAAAATGACATTGTGTCGTTTTCAATATTTATGGTAATACAATGAGCATGCTCTCGTAATGCAACGCAACGCTGCCGCAGCCGCATGCCTTGACCTGATTAATACTGTCACAACTGCACGCTCAACCGCCCCTCTACCAACGACATAGCCATCGGTGATGACATAGCCTCGGTAGGTTGACATATGTGACCGCTTGCCACGCTACGCGCGCCTGTACACAAGCGACTACCATGCATCGATGACATACTCGTAGGCTTGACATATGTCAGCAGCCTGCAGCGCTCCGCACCTCTTAGCCACGACGTACATGCGTGATGACAAGCGCTCGTAGGTTTGAGCATATGTCACACCTGCACGCTACCGCCTGTAGCAAACGCTACATCCTGATTGACATGAGGCGCTGCGTAGGTTTGACATATGTCACACGCTGCATGCGTACCCCGCTCTACCTAACTGACTCACGTATGATGTTCATACCCTCATAGGTGACATATGGTCAGCACCTGCATGCTACGCACCTGCAGCGAAACGACTACAGGATGATCGACATACCTCCGTAGAGGTTGACAAATAGTGTTCACACTGGGCATGCTACGCACCTGTACAAACGACTACAGGGATGATGACATACCTCATAGGTTGACATATGTCAGCGCGGCTGCATGCTACCACCTCTACGCAACGACTAGCATCCATGATGACCGATACTGCGTAGGTGAGCATACTGTCACACCTGGCATGCTACGCACGCTGCACAAACTGACTAGCAGTGATGATGAATATAGCGCTCATAGGTTGACCAATATGTCACACCGGGGCAATGCTACGCCACCTCTACGCAACACTAGGCATCATGAATGGGACATACGGCTCCATAGGTTGAATATGTCACACCTGCCATGCTACCACCTGCACAAACGACTAGCATGCATCGATGACATACCTCATAGGCTTGACATATGTCAGCACTGCTGCTCCCGCGGTGCACGAACGATACAGCAGCAATGACATACTGCGTAGGTTAACATATGGTCACACTGCAGCGGCACCCGGCCTCCAGCAAACGACTAACAACCAGCACAATGCATACCTCATAGGTTGTACATATGTCACAGCGCGCTGGGCAATGGCTACCGCGCCTCCACAAACGTACTACAGCACATGACATAGCCTCGTAGGCTTGACATATGTGCACAGCGCTGCATCGCTACCGCCTGCCAAATACGACTACAGGGCACAATGACATAGCCTCCATAGCCAGGTGCTTTGTTCGCATTTCAGCACAACTGGCAGCTTGGTAGCACCTCACGCCCGAGCACATGATGCTGACGTTCTCCATTGTCGAAGTAAGCTTCTGCTATGGCTGTGCCAGACTGCACGATCCAGGCCCTCAGTCATCGGATGTATGTACTGCGCGCGGTGGTTGATCAGCCTCAGCACAGACTCTTCCTGAACGACAGCAACAATAAACGCACACGGACTTATTCGGCCGATCGTGGGTGGGTGCGTAGAGTTTCTAGCTAGCTTTTCTCAAAACTGCTGACCTTGGCTTCACGTGTGTGCGTGCGTGCGTGCGTAGCAGCACTTGTCTTTTAGCTCTGCTGCCTGCTCGCTCTCGGGCTCTGCGGGCTGGCTGCGCTCTGCTCTCTATCTCTCTCTGCTCTCTCTGCTCTCTCTCTGCGTGCTCTCACCCTCTCGTCTCTCTCTCTTCTCTCTCTCTCTCTCGTTCTAACCTTCTTGCCGGTGCCATCTTCTCTCTTTGCTGTCTGCTCACGTCTCTGTTTGCTCAGGCGGCGAGCACCCATCCTCTTTTCTGTTTCTCTTTTCTATATCTGTTTTCCCTCTCCCCGCTCTCTCTGCTTTCTCTTTGCTGTTTCTTTGCTCTCCTCTCTCTCGCTCTCGTCTTCTCTCGCATGGCTCAACTCGCTGCTCTCGTGTTTCTCTTCTGCCTGTTTTTCTCTTGTCTATCTCTGCCCTTCTCTCTGCTCTCTATCTATTGCTCTTCTCTCGGCTCTGCATTCGTCTGCGCCTTGGGTGGTGGGCGAGCGTTGTGCGCGGAGGGGGCTAGAAGTACAGTACATACAGGTCTGGTCGTGTAGCACTGCTCGATGCAGTCATACAGCCGCTCCGGGTCACCCGCATACTCGCTGCGCATGCTCTGCTCCTCAGCACAGGTCAGCAGCTCGTGTAGCTCCCTCGCCAGCTCCTTCGCCATGGGGCTGTCCTCCTTCACATCCTTACTCTGCCGAGAGAGCGAAAACCGATACGGCAAGCGTCGTAAACAGGGAAAAAAAAATTATTTTTCGGGGGCTACTTTTCAAGCTCGCGTGCATGAAAATAGCACTCTAAAATTTGGTTTGCATTGAACTCTATGCAAATTTACGGGGGGTCTTTTTGGCATTTCCAGGGCTCTTTTTGGCATTTCGGGGGCTAAATCGCCCCGAGCCCCCGTGTATTTTTTTCACTGGTCGTAAATAAACGTAGCAATTTGCATCGTTGTTCGTACGTCTAGTGCTGCCACCTTCGTGCTCATGGGGATCGAAAAATAAGAATGTGGTTGTAGCAATATAAAAGTAAGAATCCATCTAATGCTGCCACTTTCATGTCCTTGCCCTGCTGGGATTAAAAACGAGAGCATCCTAGTATAACAAACAACGGCAAATACGATGACCAACCGATGGTGAATGAAAAGCAATATTCTCATGTACAGATCTGGTGCTACTCACATCTGGGCACCACGCTTGTCATAAGAGAAGCAAAAAGGAGAACAGTCAGACATGTGGCAAATAAAAAAATATCTCCATACATACACCTTCTCCCAGGCATGTGGAATTTCTACCATTTGCTGTTTTACTCTATTTATTTCTACTATACTATGTCTGTCTACTCCATTCAGCAGAACACATCACAAGTCTATCTTAACTAGTATTACACCACATTCTGAGTGAGTGCATCACTCTCACATCTATTGTATGACATTATTATTAGGTTCGACTACACGAATGACTAACTGTTCTTACCTCTATCATCTTCAGTACTCTCTCCACAATGTCCATAACAAGATCCCAGGTGAGTAGCTGTAATTCGCTGCCGTATTTCTTCACGAGGCGAGACACGGAGAGTAGCACCTCGTAAGCAATCGTCTGATGCTGACACTGTAGGGCCTATGATAAAACGATATGGTGGTCACCACACACGCGCAAACAAATATCACCGAGAAATCTTTCTTAACCAGCCACATATATAAATAAACATATTAACACTGGTTGCACCTGTTGTTGGTCTGCTAAATACTACACCAAATAATACCCGATACGTAATTTATGGATGGGTAGGTAGAATAAAGCTAAAATACTGTGTTAAATACACAAGGGTCACATATGATACAGGTCTTGTTTAAATAGAACAGCATTAAAATCACGAATCATAGGAGTTTCGAGGCAAGATGCAAATACAGTAGAAGGTTAGTCGAACGAGTTTCAGGAAAGTATATTGAACAGCAATTAGTGTCAAAGGAAATGCAATAAATGGAACATGGGATATATGCTCTTATGGGACACTGAATACACTTGCATATAGAAGGTAGTCGCCTATAGGAAGACCAAGCACGACTGGTCGGGACCAGGTTGCAAAATCATCAGCATGTTGATGGTGGCCAATACAGAGTAGAAGGTGTCGAAATAGCTTAACTGAAGGTAGAAAAGTGGACAGTACCTGTTTGAAGGACGGCAGCACAGAAGATGGCGAGTTCTTCAACGATTCGACGCGTTTATGTCCCCACAGAGCCATACCGATGTAGAAGACCGCTCCACGAAGAAGCCCCGTCCTCTGTAGATTGCCTGGATCCTGCAGGATGCGACACATGGTGTAGATGGCGCTGTGTCCCAGGTGAGTTCCTAGCAGCTTCCGCATGAGCTGTCAACCAATAGAAATGCCAGGATTACAGCCTTGGTAAGATATGGTGCGACGACGATAATTTTACTGATATTCCTGATAAAGTGTAGCATCGCTAAATTTCTGTTGAAACCACAACTGTTTGAAATTATGCTGTACTGAAATAGAAGTGCAATCCCAAATCCAGGACATATGGAAAAAAATGACAGTGCCAATATATTCCACTAAAACTGGCTAGTGTTTGAGTATTAAGCACATTACTTGTACCAAGCTCCATAGACCTTTTCAAATTAAAATACTTTGCCAAATCCTCACAGGTGTTGTACAGTACTTACTATTTCCAACTACTCTTACCAAAACCCTACTGTTTCATCAGATAAGTCAGGTGACTCCTCAACACCAGTTTGTACCGTCAAACCCAATGCTGACCCTACTAAAATCTTATTATTTTTAATTATTACTCTTAAAATCGAGCATTCAACCTAGCCTAAACGTGTTTTTAAAGACGCATGACCGATGTTATGTGAAAAAGCCCAACAGGCATAACAGACACCATGCGTATCTGCGGATGCTGTAAGGTGTGTATACCTCCCAGCTGGCCTTACACAGGTCCTCCTTGCTAATGTTAACTGTCGTGCACAGGGTGTTGATAAAGTGAGAGAGCGAATCGGTTGGCAGGTAGCTGTAGCAGACGATGGCGTCCAGAACCTTTATACACATCTGCAGAAAGTAATGCAAGACTTATAGTTCAGGGTTCTCTGCAGGCCTTTCTTCCATGTCAGGTCTGACATGCTTTTAAAGCTGAAGGCAATTTGCGACATCCTCTGACGCACTCTAATTGCCTAATTGACACCTTAATTTCCAGCTGTTTTCTTTGGGCAATCGATACACAGTCACACCAAGTTTTCACACCTTGATGTATACATATCTTAACCGATCGAGTTAATCTGTATGTTGAGCTGCTTATAACCCGCCTAACTGACTCCAATTGATACAACCGCTTCACATGGGCTCCCCTAACTGACAAGAAATGACATGCCTTCTGAACTTCCTGGGGAGGGCCCTCTACTTCATATGCCATGCAGCTATGATGATGATATGTACAGTTGTATTAGTTTACATCCTTATCATCTATATACATCTATATATTATGACTCACAATTTCACCATTACTTCTAATTTGAGTAAATAAAATTTCGACTGATACACGTTTCTGAACATGTACATATAATATAGGAATCAATCACTATGGCTTATGGAAAATACGATACTTGGGAAATTTCTAACCTCGATGTCTCCCTGGCTGTTTGTCCAGCAGATGTGGTTACAAGTATGGCTGCAAATTAAAAAACAACATAAATAAAAATCACTTTAAGAAGAAGATTAGTGAAGGTGCAGGTGATAAAAAAATTAGCACTAAAATATTTTATTTAAAGGCACGAACAAACACACACACGCACGCGCACATGCACACAAACACACACACACAAACGCACGCATTCATTCACGCACGCACGCACACACGCACACACACACACACACACGCAGACTTACTGTACAATTCCAGAAACGATGTCCTGGTCAAGATACGTTGCGTTGTACTTGACTAGGTTTACGAGTAATGCCAAGAAGTCCTTGATGCAGGAAGTACGCATGACATCGCCCATCCAGCCAAGAATGAATGAGCCAACCTCCTCCTCAAAGTTGTACACATCTTTGCCCACATCACACAGGGCTTTGAATGCATCAAACCTGCATGTAAGTTATAGTGTTGTAAAGTTTCTCAGCATGCCATCTTCTTCTAGCTCACACTCTCTCTCTCTCTCTCTCTCTCTCTCTCTCTCTCTTTCTTTCTCCTTCTCTGGCTCTTTCTCTCTCTCTCTCACACACATTCTATCTCCTTCTCTGGCTCTCTCTCTCTCTCTCTCTGTCTATCTATCTCTATCCCTCCCTCTCCCTCTCCCTCTCTGGCTCTGACTTTCTCTCCCCCTCTCCCTCTTTGGCTCTCACTTTCTCTCTCCCTCTCCCTCTATCTCCTTCTTCTTCTTCTTCTTCTTCTTCTTCTTCTTCTTCTTCTTCTGTCTTCCCCTCTCCCTCCCTATCTCTCTCTCTCCCTGTCTCCCCCTCTCTAGCTATCTATATCTCTCCCGTTCTTTCTCCCCTTTTCTCTCACACACCCTCGCTACCCTAGCCACCTCTATCCCCAAGGGGATCCACCTCTATCCCCAAGGGGATCCACCTCTATTACATCCCCGTGCATTACCAAACATACCTGGGCACCACGTCCTCAGCTACGTCATGGTCCTGAATGACCTTGAAGAAGTAGGCTCTCATGATACCTAGTTCCTCGTACTGCCCAACGATGAGGCACTGTAGGAAGCGCATAGAGAGACTACGGCTGTCCTGCGGTGACTGAGCGTACAGAAGGTCAGCCACGGTCAGCCACAACACCTCGATCGCATTCTGAAAAGCAAAAATATGCTCAACCTTCAGTGCTGCCTTGCACCTATACCTTCTTCCTCGGGGTACCTGAATGTATGTGCAGTTCCTGCAATGTATTATCGCACCATTCAAAGTATTAGGTAGAAACTAACTGATGAGATATAAAATAACAGCCGAGATATCACGCTATAAGTTTTTTATTATTATGCACAATGTAGTGTGCCGACAAAACTTTCGCTCGTAAAGATGAAGATTTATGGAAGCTTAAAGAGATACATTACTATAGGTTAATTCTTTGAATATTTTCAGATAAAATAGGTTAAAATTACGCTACATAAAACGTTTTATGGTTCAATATTCATCAGAAATATTTTTTTTTAATGTTTTAAAACTGACGACTATACTGTTACTTACAGCGACGGTGGCGCCACGAAGCGCATCCTCTAAAAAAATTGCGCAAAGCAACGTTTCGGATGCAGGCTACAGACCGAGTGTATCTTATTTTTTAATTTAAGAGCAGAAGGATTGCAATATCGTATTGTATTTAACATGTTTAATAGCATTTAGGTATAAATATAATTGCACTTTTGTGATTAGCCCTCAGTCTGAATAACATGCAAAATAAATTGGAAAATGCTCAACTTTTTCAGGGTGGCAGCACAAAAATAAAGATTTCGAAATTCAATGTTGTTTTCTGACAAACGTGAATGAATAATTATAGAAATTTGTAGGCATATGCGATTATTTATGCATTTACTATCATAATATACTCTAAAATTTTAGGGGAAAGCATCCCTTTTTAAAACATTAGCCCAGTGGCTGGATGATATCTGCATTTAGTCACTGCTATAAAATTAACGACGCCAAACTATTGCTTCCAAGTAAATTTTTTTTATATAAGCTGGAAATATTACTCGCTAGAAATTTAAATGTTACACATTTGATACATGCTGATGCATAATATATAAGCAGTCACCTCTTCAAGTTTCTTGGTCTGCACAATTTCACATATTTCAGTCAGTTTCTTCAACCGCACACTGGTAGGACTCTCCGAAGATAGCTCCTGAAATTCAACACCAGATATGAACGTGTCGACGATATGCCACCAAACAGCAATAACTATCACGTACATGGAAAAATGAATGAACATATTTATTAGTCATTATAGTATTATAAATTTAGGATTCACCAACATTTCATGTACATGAAATGTTTGTCCATCACGCCAATGCATCAGTACTTTATTCATAGTAAGTTGCATTCATGTTCACGTTCTCAGTGTTAAGGCCATAATAAAAATATTGTTTGTTTGCCCTCACCCGACCGACCCGCCAAAAAGGGGCCGACTCAAACATTTGTATTGATGTTTTTTTCTTTTTTTACAAATTGTATCATTGTACATTATATAAATCTGTAGGCAATACATTATATGTACCAAGCAAAACAAACATTCAACATAAAAGGTATCTCCACACAAGCACACCCGAGAATGTAGACACCATGCTGAATTTGTAAAAAGACCCCCTAAAAAAAGCCTACCTATACCTACCCAAACTTTTCAGCCTGGGTCGGGTGAGGGCAAACAAAGACTTTTTTAATTGTGGCCTAACCATGTACTTCCATAACATCACTAAATCACTTTTATAAGCATGTATACATGATAAGCGGTTACTCACCCGCAAAACCTCACTAGTGAAGAAAAATTCAGTTGTCCTTAGTGGGTTGGCCCCAGCCACAGGGCTTGCTGTTCCCTTGCTGATACCAAGGAGATTCTTGATTTTGTTAGGCAAAGTTTCCTTTGCCTTGCCACTGGAAGACTTGGACATGGTTATATCTCAAGTATCCATACTATATCTGAAAAGAAACATGGTTATAGTGTTTCATTTTTAAAGGACCGATTAGTATTTGTAACGCATCTAGCGATGTCAATGTCACGCCCCCAGCCAGTTAGTTTCTGTGACCCTAGCTCCAAAAATCGGTCACAGATTGAAAGACGGTGTATTAGCATTAGTCCCGCACGCTGGTCAGCCTATCGTGACCCATGATGGCACAGTATTGGACACTGTAACTTCCTTTTACCTTTACAGTAGATCTACCTGTGTAGCTGTAGGTATATATGTAGCTGCTGCCCACCTTTAGCAGCATGGTGCATAGAACGTGCCCACCCTGGCTATATTAGTTTAGTAACGCTACAGTAGATCATTGCCACCTTAGCTATATAAGTATATTAATTTAGTATGCCTATATGGCCTACATTGTACAAGGATTCAGCTCACCATAGCACTGGTATAGCACATGCATATATGCCCGTCTTGATAGATGTAAGAAACGGTGGTTGCATTGTGCATCAGCATGTATTACTACTATTATTACTGTTAGTGATCTATGTTCTCTTCCTTCTGACTGGAATAAGACTCTCATGACACCCAGTTTACAAAGGTGGTGGATCTTCCCTTGCTATCAGGGGAATCAAAAAATCAAAATTCCTAAGTTATCATACAATATCTTTGATTTCTCTCTGCTCTAAGGTATTTGAGCATATATATAGTCTATTCCTCTGATACGAGTCATTTCGATAGGCACGATATATATACTCTCAATATCAATATTGTTTTTCGACATGATTTTTCTACTTTTACCCACTCCCAGTTAATCAATGTTCTTCATGATTTATATATAGACTTTATGTTTTGACAAGTCTCAACAGGTTGACGCAGTATTTCTAGATTTCAGCGAGGCCTTTGATAGGGTTCCTCATGATCTCCTATTTTTTAAACTTGGTCAATTGGGATTGGATATTACTACCTTAAACTTTTACTGGATCTCTGAGTTTCTGAAGGATAGATAGATCGCGAATTATTTGTGTTCATGGTAGTATGTCACATGTGGCTGCTGTCCCATCTGATATTCCCTATGGATCAGTTGGCCAAAACGGACTCTTCTACTTCTATTTGCCTCTTTGCTGACACCCAGTTGTATACCACACTATCTTCAATAAGGATGATCAGTATAGCCTTCCAGAGTGTCCTTACTCATACCGAGAGTACAACTTGGGGTATGTTTTCAATACTAAAAAATGTACAAAAAATTCTCATTACCAACTATAAATCACCCTTGACCTTTACACACTTGCTTTACCATAAATATCTACCTGTTACACCTCCTTACAAATATTCGGGTGTCATTATTAGTAGTGATCTTCGCTGGAATGCACACATTGGTTATACTGAAAGATCGAGTCTCTTTCTTTCGGTATGTTATGCCACAATCTTGGCTTTGCTGATCAATGCTAAAATTCTGTTAACTACGGTTCTCCCCATATCTGAATATGCTTTGCCAAGCTGGTGCCCCTATACACTTCAGAACTGTTCAGAATTGGATGGTATTCAACATAAAGCTGCGAGATAGTTATATGCAAAAACTATTTTGATAGTTCTGAGGTTGTTCCGACTCAACTTGATTGGCCTCCTCTAGCGTGCCTATGGGACATGTTCTGCATGTAAAACTTATAAACAATCATACAATTGATCATCGTCAGGAGAAGATTGGCATTCCCACTTGCTTAACGAAGCATGTTCGTAGCACTCGATCAGCCGAGCGTTAACATGTACCACCTTCAAAGGATTTTATATATTGGAATTCTATTCCTTCAACTTTTCCTTTGGTTAATTGCAAAATTGAAGCTTTTCTAACTATACAAGTCCGCAGTGTTGACGGGTCTATTTTTACCAACTATATTTCTTACAGCCTCCGCTATAGCTCCTTCGACTTTGAAGACTAATCATTACAGGGCTGCCAACTCTCACGCATTCGGCGTGAGACTCACGTCATTGAATCTCACGCTCTCACTCCGGGTCTGCCAATTCTCACTCATACAGAAACAAACAGAAACGTTTTGAGCCATCCATGTATACAATCTCAATGTAACTGATCGTATAAAAATACAAAAAATTCGAAGTGACGAGCGGCGGATATATTGAGCGCCATTTCTGTTGACCTGTGACGTACGCATTCCCAATGCGCATAGCGATCGGCAAANCAGCTAGTACATATTAAAAGTAGAAACAATTAAGAACCTATTTAAGAACCTTTTGAGCCTAATTTTTCAGTAAGCACCATTTATATAAGAACATGTTGAGGCTAACTTGGAAAAATCTATGTTCTTATACGCGGGTTTTTACTGTACGCTTCAAGTGCCTGTGGTCGGTAGGCTGTAGTCTGTACGTAGCGCAGACGCCGGCGATTCGTCGAATAAGCTCAGGAAAACATGTCCTTGCTCGACGAGTGAAACGCAACTTATTGAGTGCGATTTTTATTTGGTTACTGTCCCCAACGGGTCACTAAAGAAAAAATAGGTGGTGGATGCGAAGAGGACACGCGAGAGTGAGTGCCTAGACTCTCACTCCCGAGATACCGCATTTCCATATAGCCACATTGCCATTGGTGACCCCGACGTGATATAAAATAATAAATTACCTATCCGGATCCTCTAAATCCAACGCCTCCTGGACAGTCACGTATTGATTTGTAAGATGACGATTACTTTTAAAGTAATCAAGACCGATACCACTCTTTCTTTTTGAAAAGGATAAACCGCATCGCAAACACTTCTGATTCATTTTGATTTTCACGCTCCCGATTGTGCGCACATTGGCGCATCAGGGCGAGTTTACCGGGTGTTGCTATCCCCCGGGCGTGGAGTGAGGGTCACGTGATACAGTTGACGTATACTTCAGAGCACTTAAATCAACTCAGTTGATTTATATGCTCTGCTTGACAGTAGACACACAGACTAACGGATACACTGTAGTGTACGGTGTAGTGTATCCGTTAGTCTGTGGTAACCATAACCCTAACTCCAACACTAACCCTAACGCGTACTATCAATATCTATCTATCGGATCGCTATATATAGAGGCGTCATCCACAAAAATTTATCTGTGGTGTGGGGACAGCTATCATAATGCAAAAACCCTAACCCTAACCCTAACCCTAACCCTAACCTTAACCTTAACCCTAACCCTAACCCTAACCCTGATCCTAACCCTAATCCTAACACTAGTGCTGCCACGTTGCGTGACCCCCACTCCACGCCCGGGGGGTAGCAACACCCGTTAATAATAACATAGCTGCCTTGCGTTTTGCCAACACATCCGGTGACATTACGCGTGCGCACGCCATATGATTTGATTTGAAATGTAATTTCAATAAGTGCTGACTTTGAGGAATAAATGCATAAATACCTGGTGTCAAGTTGTGGAAAGTGTTCAAAAAGATAGGTGAGATGTTCATGTTGATAGATAAGTGTTAAAAAGCCCGATCATTTTGTGTTTTGGTGATAAATTTTTGGTTAGACCAGTTGAAGCATTTCACAGGCACTTGGAACGTCTCAATAAAA